ATATATATATATATATATATTTTATATTCTTTTGCCTTTAATTGAGAAGATACCAAAAGTTGGGAAACTCCAGTCATTCTGGGCATTTTATTCTTCCCCAAGTAGCAACTTTTTGGAATCAATAATTGATGCCCAGCTGTATTTAATCAGGGAAGTATTTAAATTTCGTACACACTATTGTTTAAAGATGCTAAGCTTTTGAAGTTTTGGAATTTCAGGATTAGTTTGTACAATTTTTCCTGACTTAAAGTTGTCACCCGCATAATACAAGGATACTAAGTATGAACCTGAGTTGGTGGTTCCGAGAGTATCTCAAAGTTACCTCCCAGATAACAATGACTTCAATTGCAGTGGTGCATCTGTATAGAAAGTTTTAAGGGGTGCTTTCTTTCGTACATTTTGGAAAATGATCTCTACTTACATATGCTGACTTAGTTGAGTTTTTCTGTAAAGCATTCCCAATAGTAATATCCTTCCTGAATGGAGCTATGTTGAAATTGAGGTGTTGATGTTGCTTTAGTACGCCCCATCCAGGTGTTGTAATATTATTACTCAGCCAGGCAGGGAATTGTATATGTTTATCTAAAGCATTTAAGCCTGATTTCCTGATGATAAAATTAAAGTTCTTATTATATCAACAAAATCCTAGTACCGAAAAGTTGTAGGCGTGATTGCGCATTGCAGAACCATAAGAGTAATTAGCGTATCAATAATACAAAAGACGAAACGTGGAGATCGACTTGCTTAGAAAACGGAAAATAGGGAGTGCAATGCAGTCAATGATGAAAATTATAGATGTCAATTATCTATTTTTGTTTTTTTAAATCCTTATTGAAAAGTTGTACCAAACTTTTAAAATATCATCATTTGTCCAATTTTATATCTTAAACATTTAATTAATAAAGTGTTGATTGGTATAAATTAAAAGATAACTATAAAGACTTGCTTTTTGCTTTTTTAAAAAAATATACTAGGTATTTGATTGATCTGAAGTTTCCCTAC